TGTGAGTTCAAGGCCAGCCTGGTCTACATAGTGAGTTCAGGTCAGCTGGGACTATAGGGCGACCCTGCTTCAAAAAGTCTAGTGTGTGTGTGTAACCATGTTTACATAAAAATTGACAGAATTATGAAGAAAAGCAGAAAAATCATAATGAAAAATGGTGTTAGTGGTAGAACGAGAAGATAAAAATGGTTAAGAATATAAAAATATGGATTATAAAAAACTATGAGCTGGGCATGGTGGCGCACACCTTTAATCCCAGACAGAGGCAGGTGGATCTCTGTGGGGCTACAGGGAGACCCTGTCTCAAAAAGGCAACAGCAACAAAAAGTGACAAAGTGGTGTAGATGGTTAGGGTGAGTTATAAACTGTCTCGTTTATCTTCACATTCAAAAATTTAACTTGAGTACTTCTTTTTGTAAAATTGAAAGATGATTTATATATCTTGTGATTTATATACAGGCACACATACAAACACACACACACACACACACACACACACACATATATATATATATACAAACACAAAAACACACACATACAACCACACATATATACACAAGCACACACTCAGTTTCATACACACATATACACACCCAAACATACACACAAACACACGATTCACATACACATACACACTCTTATTCACACACACACCTCACCTTGCTGTTGTATAGATGGAGTCATATAATATGTGTCCTTTGGCTCTTGACCGTGTTTATTATCGTATTTGATTTTGAAACAACAGGTTTCTCCTTTAAAATCACAGTTGTCCTCTAAAATTATTAAACAGTCAAATAGCTTTTGGTTTGGAATGACATTTAAGGGTTAATTGTCTCATTTGTGCAAAAGCTAAAATTGAATCCAGCCGGAGTGAGCCTCAGGTCTGTCAGCCGCACAGCTTTCCTGCTGTCCCAGAGGCAGCTCTGGGCTCCGACAGAGCTGGGGTTTCCCACATTTCTGGACTGTGGCGTTCTTTTCTTATTGTATCAAGATCTGAACTTCTGGTGGTAGCTGACCTATGTTGTTGTTGCTGTGATCTTCGTGTCTGAGCACTTGGACCTGCTTCTTGCTCTACTGGTATAATTTTAGGCCTGCCTAATAAGATAAATTCAACTAAATATTAAGTTTAAAGGTATTTATAAATCAGTGAACTTAATAACTTTATGCAATGGTTTGAGTGCAAGCAGTTTTATTAGTATTTTTGATTAGGTACCAGAAAGGATCTATGTTTTACCCACTAATTTGATAGTAGAATTTAGGTACCCAAGGAGTACTGAGGTCTAACCGGGTGTGATAGTGTATACCTGTAATCCCAACACTCCTCTACTGGGAGGTAGAGGCAGGAGGATCAAAAAAGTTCAAGGTCATCATCTGCTATACAGCAAGTTCCAGGCTAGCCTGGGCTACATGAGACCCTGTCTCAAAAAAGAAAGAATAGTGAGGTCTAGAGAAACTCCCTGTGTTTGAAACTTGTGATGATGCAGCAAGTTGCTAGCTGCAGCTGGGATTAGAATGAGGAGCTAGGTGTGCTGGGGAGCTACTTAGTTGGTAAAGTAGTGGCTGCACAAGCAAGATCTGAGTTCGGTCTCTAGCATCTCTTAAAAGCCAGACATGGTGGTGAGTGCTTGTAATCCCAGGGCAGGTGAGACAGAGACAGGTCCCTAGCCAGCCAGCCTAGTATATGTGGTGAGCCCCAGGTCCTAATGAGAGACCTTGTCTCAGAAAATAGGGTGGACAGCTCCTGAGGAAGGACACTCTGGGTTAACCTCTTTCCTCCATATGCACACTAGTACACATGTACATGCACACCCCATTCCGCCTCAGTCCCATACAAAAAGAAAAATAAAGCAGATAGACCTAAACCTAGCTGCTTCACTGTTATGTGTAGAACCCATTTTCTGTTATGAGTCAGCACTGACCTCTCCACCCCCAGTGCTAGACATGGAACCCCCGGGCCTCATGTACATTAGGCACGTGGTCTTCTACTGAGTTACATCCCAGCCTCCAAACTACCTTTGAGAGAAGCATTCTAAACAGCAGAGCAGAAGGAGGCAGTGTGTTGTAGGGCACTGGTTTCCCAACTTTAATATGCATCAGCATTAGCTATAGGGCTTGATTAAAAAGATGTGGGGCCTTCCCGGGTCTCTGGTTTATAAAGCTGGAGTAGGCCTTCCTTGAGAGTTTGTATTTCTGGCAAGTTCCCAGGTGATGCTGATGCTGTCAGCTCAGGAACCTCCCTTGAAAACTATCACTTAAAGGCAGACGGAGCCATGGGGTCACCCCAGGTGTCAGCCCTGCTCTGTGGCACCCCGTGACCCTGATCAAACTTTCTGAGCACTGTCTTAGTTTCCTGAATGCCATCCCCCATGCTGAGTATGTTCTTAGCATTATTCTTGATTTAAACTCTACATAAGCTTATATGTATAATAGCAATTAAATATCTTTATAGTGGACCTTCTGGAGCTACTAAGATTCTCATGGGCACTGAATAAAAGTTGAACAATATGTATTAAAAGATTTGAAATGCTTTGCTCTTTTATTTTCACCCCATTACATCCTGCTTGTGAAATGTGAAAGTGATAACCACTACACTATGGAAACTGCTCCCAGCATCCTACACACACACACACACACACACACACACACACACACACACACGCACGCACGCACGCACGCACGCATGCAGGCACGCACGCGCACGCACGCACACACTTTTCTATGCAGACTTGGTCGTCCTGGAACTCTCTCTAGATCAGGCTTGCCTCAGACTTGCTGCAGTCCTTTTGCCACTGGCTCCTGAATGCTGTAATGACAGGTGTGTGCCACCGCACCTGGCCTGTTTGGTATTTTATTGAAATTTATTCATTTGAAAGCCCATTGCCCAAAAAAGTAACTATTGACTGGAATTCTATCTATCTATTTATCTATCTATCTATCTATCTATCTATCTATCATCTATCTATCTATCATCTACCATCTACCTATCATCTATCTATCTCTATCATCTATCTATCTATCATCTATCTCTATCATCTATCAATCTATCAATCTATCATCTATCTCTATCATCTATCAATCTATCAATCATCTACTATCATCTATCTCTATCGATCTATGTATCATCTATCTACTATGTATCTACTATCTATCTATCAATCATCTATCTGTCATCTATCATTTATTGTGTATATGCCATGGTGCATGTGTGGGGGTCAGAGGATAACTTTTGGGAGTTTGTTCTTGCCTTCTACCATGTAGGTCCTGGGAATTGAACTCAGTTTATCAGGCTCACCTGATTATCAGTTTAGAAGGCACCTTTATCTGCTAGGCCATCTTGTCATCTTTTTAAAAAAATTAAAAAAAATTTTTTTTTATGTTTATGAACGTTTTGCCTGCATGTATATATAAGTACACTGTGTGTGTGTGTGTGTGTGTGTGTGTGTGTGTGTGCGCAGTGCCCACAGAGGCCAGAAGAGGGCATCAGGTTCTCTGGAACTGGAGTTACAGGTGGTTGTTGGTTACCATGTGGGTGCTGAGAACAGAACCTAGGTCTGCAAGAACAGCCAGTGCTCTTAACTTCTGTGACATCTATCCAGCTCTGGAAATATTTTAAATTTATGTGTATGTATGTGTCTCTGCGTGTATATGTATATGTGCACATGAGTGCCTGTGGAAATTAGAAGAGAGTGTTGGATCCCCTAGAACTGGAGTTATAGGTGGCTGTGAGCTGCCCAATGTCTCTGGAAGAGCAGCAAGTGTTCTTTACCATGGAGCCATCTCTCCAGTCCCCATGCTTGTTTGTTTTGGGTTTTTCGAGACAGGGTCTTCCTGTAACCCTGGCTGGCCTGGAACTCACTGTATAGACCAGAGGTCTGCCTGGCTCTGGCTCCTGAGTGCTGGGATTAAAGGCATGCACCACCATGCCTGACCCCTACTTTGTTTTTTTTTATTTTTTTATTTTTTAGAAGCATTTCATTACAGCTTTAGCATACTCAATAACAATTTCCAGAGCAAAGATACATCTCTTTCAAAAGTGGCTATAAAATTTTTAGGTGGGTCTCAGGCTAGGGGTGTGATTCAGTTGGCAGAATGGTTGCCTAGCATGTGTGAAGTCCTGGCTTCCCTCCCTAGCACTGCATTAACTGGGTGTGCGCCTGTCATCCCAGCATTTGGGAGGCAGGAGGATCAGAAGTTCAAAGTCATTTTCAGCTATATATTGAGAAAGGGAGGGAGGGAGAAAGGAAGGAAGGAAGGAAGGAAGAAAGAAGGAAAAAAGAAAGAAGAAAATGACAGGGTCTCAAGTTGCCTACCCTGGCCTCTAACTCAAACTCAGCTGGTCTCAAACTTGGAGCAATCTTCCCACATCATCCTCCCAAGAGTTGGAATTACAGGTGTGCACTGCCGTGCCAGCCTCTGTTTGTTTTGAGACAGGGTCTCACCAAGTAGCCCAGGATGGCTTAGAACTTACATATAGTCCTCTTGCCTTAGCCACCAGAGTGCTAGCATGGTAAACCCATGCTAACTCACCCAGTTCTCTGTTGATTTAATTTTTTTAAATTATTACATTTAGTGTGTGTGTGTGTGTGTGTGTGTGTGTCTGTCTGTCTGTCTGTCTTTCTGAGCCTGTGTGCACATGCACATGTGCACGCACACTCAGGTGCCTTTGTACCGTGGCTCCTGTGTGGAGGTCAGAGAACAAATTGCAAGGATCAGTTCTCTCCTTCACCATGTGGGTCCTGGGGATCAAACTCAAGTTGCCAGGCTTAGTGGCAAGTGCCCTTACTTGCAGAGTCATCTTGCCAAGTCTGCTCTGATTTTCTTTAGTGATTTATTGTAAGCATCAATTCTGCAAGTTATAGTCTATTTATACCCTTTTCCTATAGTTCTTGTTGTGTTAACCTCCTGATATTGAATATATTATTAATGTGACAGTGGGAATGCAGGTATATAGCTTGAAAACACCTCTTGAGGCCTTCTCTGTAATTGCTCCTTTATTTCAGATGTGGTGGAGGACCATCCAGCTACAGCATTGTTTTCTCTTGGTTTCGTGTGTACTTAGCGCTCTGGAAGCTGTGCCCATAGACGTAGACAAGACCAAGGTACAAACCACGCCACCTGTGGAGAGCGCGAAGCTAGAACCACCAGTAAGTGTGATGGACGAGTCATAAGTATAACTACATGAAGTGAATTGTGATAGCGGAGTGAAGAGAATCATGGCTGATTGAAATGAAACTGAAATTCTAACTAATGAGGGAGATGGAGACCCTATAAAGCATCGCTAATATTGATTGCTCATAAAACAGTAGTAAAAAGAACACTGGTAAGAGTCAGGTTTAACAGTGACCAGTGTTCATTTAATGTAATTGCTATGTAGAAGAGTCAATCACAGTACATTTCCAGTGTAGCAATAAGCAGCCAAGAAGATTAAGACCATGTTATTTTTGAAGGAGGGAGAAAAGATCATGTGAAGAAACCAGTTTTTTTTTTTTTCCTTCAGAGAACCAACTCATATTATTGGCTGTTTTTATTCATTTTTCAGTGTGGGGATGGACTCCCGGAGCCTTGTGCTAGGCAGGCACTCTACCACTGAGCTATAGACACAATCCTGAATCTTCATTTTCTAAGCCACATGGGAAATTTTTGCCTGTTTTTTTTTTTTTTAATAAACCACGATACTGCTCCTGATTTAAAACTCCTTGACTATTGAAACTATCAAAGAGCATTCTTCTTAAATGCCATTTTTCTAGAAGTTGTTCCTCAAGATTGAGGTCTTTCTACTCAGACCAGAAAAACTGAAATACCACTGTTTATTTCTTAATTTGAAGGACACTGGACTTTATTATGATGAATACCTGAAACAGGTGATTGATGTTCTGGAAACAGATCAGCATTTCAGAGAAAGGCTCCAGAAAGCAGACATAGAGGAAATAAAGGTAAGTGGAATTCGGTAACTATTAGCCAGCATTTGTGCATACCAGATATGGAGGTAAATACTGGAGATAACAAAGATGAGACCTTTGTAGGAAAGGTGGGAAAACATATTGAAAAATACGGTAGGTGGATGGATCTATGTTGAGTTATATAACAGAGATGTAGAAGACAGACACACGACCCTGTCTGACGCAGTGACGAAAGGTGGGAAGTCATTCTTCCCAGTAGAGATTATGCCGGAGCCTAATGGTATAACTGTAGAACACAGCTGGCCGGAGGGTATCTTAGCCAAAGGTGCAGATAAGGTGTAGAGAGTTTTCTGGACTCTAGACTTGGGAATGTAGTTTGTGAGTAGCCAGATGATGGCGCTGGAGAGTCATGGGCTCAATGGCAGAGTGCTTTGTAGTTAAGTGCAGCAGCTCCCATCATGCTCTGAGGGACAGCAGGGAGTTATCCCGAAGTGAAGAGCAGGGTTAGGCCTGTGCTTGCTCAGTTCCAGATTAGCAAAGAAGGCAGTGAGCGGGCTCTTACGTTAATAGCACAGGTGTTACCATTGTCTCCATTCTAAGAATGCTGCTATTCATATAATCCTAGCCTTAGACAGTGACCTACAGCTCATAACAAGAAAAGGAACTAAAAACTCCATGAGTGCGTTCCAGCCCAGCTGGGGCTAAAGCGTGAGATGCTAGCTCAAAAAGGAAAGAAAAATGGAAAAAAATAGGAAAGGAAAAAGAAAGTGAGCTGCGAAAGATGGACAGAGTGATTCCTTCAAAGTCTTTCCGTCAAGGGAAGTGAACCATCCCTCGGTCTGTCTCTTGCTCCATCTCTCTCTGCCTCTTTCCCTGTGACTCTGTTCCCCACCCCCATCTCTGTGTTTTGAGACAAGATCTCATGTAGCCCAGATTGGCCTTGAACTTGCTATGTAGCCAAGAATGACCTTCTGTCTCTACTTTCTGAGTGCTTGGATTATAGGCATGAGCCCCCACACCTTACTATAGATGGTGCTGGCGATGGAACCCAGGGCGTCCTGCACTCGAGAAAAGCATTCTCCCAAGTGCTCCATCCCCAGCTCATTGGTTTTATCATAGGCTGAATGAGCAAAAATTCCAATTTAAGATCGTCAGTTATGTTTGCTAAGCTAGTTTGGTTTGCTCATACAACTTTTATTTGTTTTATCATCTTCCTAAAAAGGTGTTGTGTGCTTCTAGAAGAATTACAGAAGTGTGTTTAGAGGCATCTTTCCGGGTCAGAATCTGTTTTCATTTTAACCTCTGCACTGTTGGCTCCCTGCAAGACTAACTCACACAATAGTGTGGTGTATATGGAGTTTAAGGTTGGGTTTTAGTTAACAGCCTCTTTCTTGGAAGCCTTGAACTGTTCTGGGGGAATAATAACAATTTCTGCCAATAATTCCTTTAAATTGTTTGAAGAGACTCTTATCTTCTTGTTTTCCATTTATGTATGTATGTATGTATGTATGTATGTATGTATGTGTATGTGCATGTGTGTGGGCCTGTACATGCCTGGAGTGCATGTTTTGGGGTCAGAGGGCCACTTGGAGGAGTTGGTTCTTTCCTTCCCCCATGTGGGTTCCTAGGATTGAACTCCAATCGTCAGGCTTGGCCACAGACACTTTTACCCCACCAAGGTATCTCACTGGCCCAGGTAATTTTTGAAAAGAACGTTGTTCAGGGGGCCGTAACAATGGCTCATTGGTTAGGGGCACATACTGCTCTTGCAGAGGACCCAGGTTCAGTTTCCAGCAGTCATGTCAGGGCTCTCACAACTATCTGTAACTCTAACATGGGGTGGGGAGATTCGATAACTCAGCCCTCCATGGGCACCTGCACTCACATGCACATCCAAATATACATAATTTTAAATGAAAAATATTAAAAAAGAACTTTGTTAAGATATAATTAAGAGTGCCTCCTGCTCTTCCAGAGGAGCTGAGCTCAGACTGCACCTCCTCTGTGGGTGGCACCTCCTCTGTGGGTGACTCAAAGCCACCTTGTAATTCCAGCTACAAGGAATCCAATGTTCTCTTTTGGCCTCAGAGGGCACCTGTACACACATAACATACATTCACACCAACACACACATACATAACAAGAATGAATTTAAGGAACTGGAGAGATGGCTCAGTGGTTAAGAGCACTGACTGTTCTTGCAGAAGACCTGGGTTTGAATCTGTCTTAGTTTGTTCTTCATTGCTGTGACAAAATATTCTGACCACTACCAACTTGGGGAGGAAAGGGTTTATTTGATTACATCTCCCAGGTCACAGTTCATCAGGGAGCCCAAGGTAGGAACTCAGGGCAGGAACCTGGAGGCAGGAGCTGGAGCACAGGCCATGGAGGAATGCTGCTTACTGGCTTGCTCCCCTGGCCCCTGCTCAGCCTGCTTTCTTATGCAACACAGGCCCACCTGCCCAGGGGTGGCACCACCCACAGTGGGCTGGGCCCTCCCACATCACTCAAGAAGATGCCCCTCAGACATGGCCACAGGCCAGTCCAATAGAGGCATTTCCCCAGTTGAGGCTCCCTCAATCCAGGTGTGTCAAGCTATCCAGCACAATTGACCCCTTGTCAATGTGACACACAAACATCACTATTAAACCATAACTTTCCAATTTATGTCCCCAAGATACGATGTTAATATCACAACATAAGACCGTACAACCACAGTCCTCCCATAATCACCAAGGTCAGTCTGTCACAGCAATACCCCAATCGTCATACGAATTTCTGTCCTTGTTTGTCTCTTCATTGCTGTGACAAAACATTCTGACCACTACCAACTTGGGGAGGAAAGGGTTTATTTATCTTACATCTACTGGGTCACAGTAATCCAAGGCAGGAACCTGGAGGCAGGAGCTGGAACACAGGCCGTGGAGGAACACTGCTTATTGGCCTGTTCCCTGGCCCCTGCTCAGCCTTCTTATGAAACACAGGCCCACCTGCCCAGTGGTTGCACCACTCACAGTGGGATGGGCCCTCCCACATCACTCATCAAGAAGATACCCCTCAGACATGGCCACAGTCCACTCCAATAGAGGAAATTCCACAATTGAGGCTCCCTCAACCCAGGTGCATCAAGTTGACACTAAAGCTATCCAGCACAATTGACCCCTTGTCAACTTGACACACAAACATCACTATTAAACCATACTTCCAATTTTTGTCCCCAAGACATGATGTCGATGTTAATATCACAACATAAGATAGTACAACCTTACAAACCCCACAGTCCTTAAAAAACCCAAACACTTTAAAATTCATAGTCTCTTTTAAAAGTCTCTTAACTGTGGGCTTCTGTAAAATCCAAAACAAGTACTGTCTTATTTCAAAGGGAAGAATCGGGCACAGCTAAGCAAAACCAAAGTCCAGCAAAGTAGCTCAAGGCTGGACATCTGGGATTCACTCACGATCTTCTGGACTCCAAAGGGTACTGGGAGCTCCACTTCTCTGACTCTGCCGTCCATAGCACACACAGCTTGTCTTGCAGACTCAGGCCAGCTCCATTCCACACCTACTGCAGTCCTTGGTGGTCATCCCACGGTCCTGGCATCTCCAAAAAGCTGGGGTCTCCACTGAAACTGAGGCTGCACCTTCACCAATGGCCTCTTCTTGGCTCTCCAGGTGCAAAGCCTCAGATTCTCTCCATGACCCCTTCAATCCTGCTGGGGTCTTAACTGCAACTGAAGCTGCACT